AGTGAATTTATTGGGATGATAATGGTTAATAAAATTACATATATTTCAAGTGTACAATTCTATAATATATCATCTGTATATTGTGCATTGTGTTCACCACCCCAAGTCAAGTCTCCTTTTATCATCATTTATCCCCCCCTCTTTATCATCTTCTACCACTCCTCACCCCCTTTCCCTCTGGTAATCACCATATTGTTGTCTGTGTCTATGAGGGTTTTGCTTTTTCGTTTTTAATTTTTGCTTAATCCCTTCACCTTTTTTACTGAGCCCTTCAACTCAACTCCCCTCTGACAGCTGTCTGTCTATGTATCTATAAGCCTGTTACTAGTTTGTTGTTAGTATGTTTTATTCATTAGATTTCACATGTAAGTGAAATCATATGGTACTTGTCTTTCTGTGACTGGCTTATTTTGCTTAGCATAATACTTCCCAGGTCCATCCATGCTGTTGCAAAAGGTAAGATTTCCTTCTTTTTTACTGCCAAGTAGCATTCCACTGTGTAAATATACAACAGCGTTTTTACCCACTCATCCTCTAATGTGCACTTGGACTGCTTCCAAATCTTGGCTACTGTAAATAACATTGTAATGAACATAGGGTGTGAATTAGTGCAGCCATCTCTTCTTGATGACCCATCTCAGTGGTCACTGACCACAGTCTTGTGCTTGAGCTCTGAGTCTTTCAGGCATGGATCCCTCATTCTTCTTGGGACACTGGTTGAGCATAATCAGGAGCTCGGAGAAGTAAGGAGTCACTTCAATTCATGAGATTATCAGAGAAGACTTCATTTATGCAAAAATATTCAACTGTGGGATATCAAAAAGATGTTAAAATATTGTGAGCTTTTGAGGGCAGAAACTGCTTGATTGATATGTTTATGCCCAGCCTCTGGCAAAATGCTAACACAATGTAGCTACTTGACGGATGTGGGCTGAATTAAAATGAAATTATGCCAACACCCAGTCTGTGAGTCTGTGCTGGGTGTCTCTTCTTTGAGATGATCCATGTGGTTCCACAAGAGCATGAGTAGTTCATATAGCAAAAATATAGCTCAGCAACAGACTGTAGCATACATGTGGTTACAGTGTTAGGGAAAATGCTATGTGTAAACACAACCAGTTTATAAATGTAGGTTTTCCTTAAAGAAAAACAACAAAAACAGGTAATCTTAGAAGTCTCTCTCTTCAACACAGAATGTACAATTTCAAAGGACAAATTAGCAAAGATTGAACAGGAGAGGCCGAAAGCACTGATTAACAGAAGCCATTTCTTCCTTATCTATTTCTGTTCCTAGCAGCGAGCCTTCAGCCAGCTTCAAACTGGGCTTTAATTTTAGACTTGTAAATGGAGGTGTGCAACCACCTTTGCATACAAATGGGGCTGCTGGATGCCCAATTACCTAATGTATATCAGCAGATGTTGCATGTGTAGCCTAGCATACATGCAACGTTATGAATACAAAATTAGGAGGCTGCTGCTGCTGCTGAAAATTAATCCCTTGTCCACAGCATATTCTTTGTTCACCCTAAGAAAGATTTTTCACTCCTCAATTGCCAACACTTTATAGGAGCCTGAGAGCTACAATTCTGTGGATAGTACCTTGCAGACTTGAATATGACACAAAAGTGAGCCATTCTGCAGAGTCTTAAAGATGAAACATGACATAATGGATTTACACACCAACCATGAAATGATGGCACAATCCTCAATGTTCATTAAGATTGTAGTACGGAGCTTCTCATCATACCAGGGATTTGACTATACTGCAAATCAGTCATACTTAAACTTTAGTGCACAGCAGAATCACCTGGAAGATTTGTTAAAGTGCAGTTTCTGATTCAGTAGGTCTGGGGTGGGGTCTGATAACTTGCATTTTTAACAGTTCTGGGTCATGCTGGTGTTCTTGGTCTAGGGACCACACTTTGAGAAGCACTGCTATAGATCAGTCAAGCTAACTTTGAACATCTGCACTAAAAGGATTTTAGGGATGAAGAAACCACTGATAAAGACGCATATGTTAAAGATCACGGGTTATTTAAGCAATAGTGCAGAGATGCAATCCCAGGACTTTTGACTCAGACCGGTCAGGTGTATGCAGCTAACTCTTCAGCTCAATGTAGAAAGCGTAACTTCAGCCTCTTGATAGATTTCCAAAGTAGTGTACTTAATTTAACTGAGCACCTATATAACTTCAGCCTCTTGATAGATTTCCAAACAAAGTAGTGTACTTAATTTAACTGAGCACCTATAGGCTTGTCATGTTAGGGACAATACCAAAACACAGACACCAACCACCTTAACAGAGCTTATGCTTTAGTCAGGAACAATTCATGAAACCACGAGAACACACCACAAGGATATCCAAACAACCATCAAAGTGAGATGAAAGAAGTAGTGAGAGATCCAAGCTGGAGGAGAGTCAGAGATCCCAGAGGGTTAGAAAACTGCAGAGAAGAATAGCAAATTAAGGCTTAAAAGACAGGCTCTAAAAATGGCAAAAAAAAAAAAGTTTGTTTGCTAAGAGCAGCTTCGTAGAGAATTTTCCAAGCTCCATGGGTCTCTCATAAAAATTTTGCAAAAGATTTGGGAAGTAAAATTAATATGTTTTTTAAAGATTTCATTCTGCAATATCTAATCTGATTAAGTTCAAGTCTAATAACATCATATTAGAATCTTTAGTCTTAGAAATAGGACTATGGTCAATCTATGGCCAATGTGTAGGCTACAGATACCCAGACATGGTAGAGGGCTGTGAAAAGAGGAAAAGAATTGTCTAGCCACAAATCAGAGGTTTTTCATTGAAAGCACTTAAACATAATCCCAGGATCAAGGACAATGGTCCGAGTAATAAATGTTTTATGTTAGTGAATTTCTTAGCAACCGTCTTAGTAATATTTTATTGGCTGAAAATGCCAAGTCTAAACCGTAATATTCAGAAGAAAGCACTGCCAATGAATTGAGCTTCTGTTCCTCTTACTTCCTATAGGAAGAAGAGCATAAATCTAAGGATCTGCTTTTTATTTTTTATATCATAGGGCAGAGCGTAATGCCTTGGTAGATACAAATATTCATCCCTTTTCTCCTAGCTTTTCCTTGACATGAATAACATATAACTTATTCATGCTTTCAGCCAATTAGTTTCCACCCACAACAAGGGCCTCTGCTGTTTTAACCTCCATGTCATCCCTTTCAACCGGCTGACTCTCGAAGCGACTGATCTACACAAGCACAACCAACCTTTCAGTGTTTAGTATTCTGGTCATTTCCTGATTAAGCAACATTCAAGCTACTGAAATAAATGTATATCTTTGAAAATGAGTTTCCTTAATTACCTCATTGAAATTTAATGGAATTTCTCAATTTGTAAGGTTGTTTTCACTTTCCAACAGCACATATCAGTGACATATATTAAGGGAAAACATCTAAAAGAATAGCACAAAAGAAAAAAATTTTTCCTGCACCATAAAAAAATAAATAAATATATTCAAGAAATGTTTTCTTTGTGAGGTCTCTCCTGAGTTACACAACTGCTTCTCCTGCATACATTCTTGCACAATTTT